TGAACTAATACAAACTACATCCTTTTTTCCCCTCTCCAGTCTGATTCGCGTCAGTCATCTTACTCTCCACAGCCTCAGCAATTTACTCAGAATTCCTCTCCACCAACCTCCATTAACCAGACTCAGCCACAACCAATATCCCAGTCTAAGCATGCTCTGCAGCCCCAGCAAGGGGCACAACCACCCCACCAGGTCCAGCTGCCTTTGTTTAACTTTCCCCAATCTCCCCCAGGTCAGTATGCCACCTTGCCTAACCTGGGACTATTTCAGATGCACCCTCACCACCACCATCACCACCACCACCAAATCCAACTTCCTAACACCTCGTGGCCTGTTATTCACTCTGCACCGGGTAATCCTCCTCACGCGGCAAATGTTCCTTTTTCTGTGAGGGCTGGCAGTAGCAGCAGCCCGCCCAATAACCCGAGCAGCGTAAGCCTGAATGATCCCAGTATCATCTTTGCACAGCCTGCTGCCAGGCCTGTAGGAATCCCCAGCAGTACTCATGAGGGACACTGGCACAACCCTGTGACTCTAAGCTCACTGGTGAACAATGGCACGGTGGGGAACTCAGGTAACTCTCCTCTCTTGTCTCCTGTTTTGTACAAATACTGACTGTTTCTTTGCTTAACGTTTCTGAACCTGTTCATTCTGACTATGCTGTATATTCTGGGGTGCAGATGAGGAACCTTTTAGGAAAAAGATGAATCACCGTGTATTTGCTTAGGCTACATAAAAAGTGGGTTGGGTTTGGAAGGCTGTTTTCATAGCATTTGACAAGTTATTTAAAGAGATAATAGTTTGAGCTTTCTGTCAAGAAACTTTGATTCCAAATCCGAGTCTGAACTTCAATAGGGGTGGGCTTCAAAGAGTTCTGTGCATCAGCAGAAAGAACTTCTGCCCAGTTTCCTTTTGAGCTGCGTCCCCTTGTGCTGCGTTTAATACTGTGCTTCAGGAGCAGCTTGAGGTGTGGTGTGTCAAAGAAAAGGACCTCAGTGTATGAGCAGAACATTAAGATAAAGTTTAAGGTCTGGCAGGGCAAATCCACCTCTTTCTTTGGCATCAGTTAATATCTTAAATTTTATTCGAGGCTTCTTGCCCTGCCAAACAAATCTGGAAATATCTTTCTGCCACTTCTTGAAACAATCCATCTTATCCAAATGAGCAGAACATTAAGTACAGCCCTTTGGATCGCATCCAAGCTAATTAGAAACCCTGCACCACCTTTCCTTAAAAGATCAGTGTACTCTTCTGAGGCTCAGTTTGAGCCAGGGCCAGAAACTAGCTTTCAGTGCTAGGACCTCAAAAAATGAATGGTAATAAAAGTGCCTCTTGAGTAATAGAGTACCTGTCCTTTACCACTGCAGAACCTCAACTGTATCACCATCACTTGGTGAATAATGTAAAATAGAGCAGATTGTCTCCTATTGGTTTTATATGACTCTTTAATTTTAATTTTTAATTAAATTTATATTCCACCCTATACCCGCAGGTCTTCAACTGCTTCTATTGTATTTCTTATCCATGTATGCATATTTAAGATTGCTTTCTGCATGCAGAAGGGAACTACGTATTATAGCACCATGAGCTCCTGCAGCTCAGCAGCAATGGATACTTTTAGTCCATTCATGGCTCCTTGGGTCCAAAATCATCTTGTACAAGCAGAAAGGCACTTCCACAGGGCAGCCCTTCTAAATTCTTCTGATTTCCCTTTCCTAGTGCAGCTGCCCATGTCCCATCCCATGCTGTTCCAGAGGGCCCAAAAATAAAATTAAGTAAAGAGAAACATAATTTTAAAAAAAATACTCTTACTGCTGTGGATTTTGCTTTGCAGGTTGGTGCTTTCAAATACAGTAATCTTTTCTCTTCTTTTCATTTTTGAATGAAAACTAGATCAGGGCTTCCCAGGACAGTTTGGTAAAGCGAACCCTCCTCCTCCTCCTGTTCCTTGGGACCATGGCACCCCAGCCCATTTTCCTCTCCTGCGAGGGACGTGGCCTTACAATATTTCTCCGAACTACATGCAGCAGGGAAATGCCAGCTATCCATTGAATAAACCTTTCTACCCTCAAGGTAGTATCTTCATGAAGCAACTTTCTCACCTTTCTGCTATTATTTTTATTGGTTTTGGTTTTAGTTGTTGTGATAAGAACAGGTCTCCTAGGGACAGTTGTTGTGCTAGTGCAATGTCATACTGGGCTCTCACTCGAGATCTTTTCTAGGTTGCTTGTCTATAAAAAGCTGCAGTCTTTTCTGAATTTACCGTATCTGTATTAACCACTTGCATTCTTTGCTGTGCACTGTCTGTTCTCTGCCTGTTTAATAGGAAAAGAATTCATTGGTTTAACTAAACATGAACCTGCTTGTGCAAGTAGATATCCCAGATATCAAGCTTTTGGGGCATCTTATGAAGCCCCTACCTTGAGGTGGAAAACCTGTGGCCCCATAACTCACATCACCCTTGATGATTGGCCATGTTGGCTGAGGGTGATGGGAGTTTGCCTCCAACAATATCTGGAGAACCACTCTTCTTTCACCCTTGCATTTTTTTTGTTCCATCTTGATAGTCATGCCTCGGTCCACAAGTATTTCAGCCTATTTCTTTTCCATAAGCGCCCCTTTCTGCTGCTAAACTTGCAGGAATTTAAAAACTCTCTTTCAACCTAAATGTTAATTTGGATTCCTGCTAAAATAATCATAACCTATTTTCTTTCAGCTGGCTTACTGATGCAGAACAACCAGCGGTTTTCACTTCTGTCCCAAGGACACCCACACTTGAACATGAATTTCATTCAGCAGAAAAAATGAAGTTTAATTAAGGGGATGGGAAGAAATCAGGTTCTGGATTCAAATCTTATTGCGACGTGTTTAGATAAGAGATTATTTAAAGCTGTTTTTAACTGTATCATTTGTACATAGATATAAAATATAGTTTTTACCAGTATCACAAGAAGTGATACAAATGTCATCTATTTTATTACCCTATTTTTAAGGGGAACTGTGTTTTATTTTATCTTGATAAACTGTAAAGAGAGTTTTTAAAATTAAGTTGTTTATTTTCTATTAGCTTTATTCATACTTTGGTTCAGACTTTATATCTATTGTTCTAAAAAGAAATTAGAAAGGGATTTCATGTGTTAAAGATTGTCATTTCTTTACAGAACAATGTAGTGCCAAAAACTTTTTAAAAGGAAAAAAATAAAATTGCAAAATTAGAAATCATAAGTAGAATTTTTCATTTGTATACACAGCTGGATTCTGTTAAGCCTTTTTAGACTAGGGTGAAATAGTACCCTGGACTCCATATAATTGGCATCTAAATATATAAACTTCACAAAGTTTTCCAAGTCTTCATATAGTGTTGGTGAGCATTCATCCAAAAAAGGAAAGGAAGCCTCATGCTTGTGAAACTCAGATACAGTGGTGCCCCGCAAGACGAACGCCTCGCAAGACGGAAAACGCGTTAGACGAAAGGGTTTTCAGTTTTGGAGGCGCTTCGCAAAACGAATTTCCCTATGGGCTTCCTTCGCAAGACGAAAGCCCATAGGGAAATCTCCGGGACAGCGGGGAAGCGCAGCTCCTCCCACCGCCAGCCTTCGTTTCTCCGCTATCCCGGACGGCTTTTGAAGGCAGGCGGGGGGGAGCAAAGACTTTCGCCCCCCGCCGGCCTTCAGAAGAGGTCCGCCAGCCTTCAGAAGAGGTCCAGGACCTCTTCTGAAGGCCGGCGGGGGGCGAAAGTCTTTGCTCCCCCCTGCCTGCCTTCCCGGGAGAGCGGAGAAACACAGCGTGTTTCTCCGCTGTCCCGGACGGCTTTTGAAGGCAGGCGGGGGGGAGCAAAGACTTTCGCACCCCGCCCGCCTTCAGAAGAGGTCCTGGACCTCTTCTGAAGGCTGGCGGGGGGCAAAAGTCTTTGTCCCCCCTGCCTGCCTTCCCGGGGGCTTTTAAATCGCCCCGGGACAGCGGAGAAGTCCCCCGCTGTCCCGGGGCTTTTTAAAATGCTGGTGGGCGGCAGCGGAGGCTTCGCTCCTGCCCGCCAGCATTTTAAGATCGCCCCGGACAGCGGAGAAGTCCCCCGCTGTCCCGGGGCTTTTTAAAATGCTGGCGGGAGGCAGCGGAGGCTTCGCTCCCGCCCGCCAGCATTTTAAGATCGCCCCGGACAGCGGAGAAGTCCCCCGCTGTCCCGGGGTTTTTTAAAATGCTGGGGGTGGGAAGAAAAGCCCTTGGTCCCCCCCCCCCCCAGCCTTCAGAAGAGGTCGGGGGACAGACTGTCCACGGACCTGGTCTGAAGTCGGTTTCCATAGGAACGCATTAACTGATTTTCAATGCATTCCTATGGGAAACCGTGCTTCGCAAGACGAAAAACTCGCAAGAAGAAAAAACTTGCGGAACGAATTAATTTCGTCTTGCGAGGCACCACTGTATTTCCCTTTTGAAATGCCTATGCAATTAGATTACTAGTCATTCCTTGCCAGCATCTGTGCCCAAAGGAACATGGTCCCCCCGCCAAAAAAAAATAAGTGTACGGACAACTCCCCATTTACGCGAGGGTTATGTTCCAGAGCACCGAGCATTTAAGTGAAATCGCATATATTGGGAACACAATTGAAAAACCTGCAAACACCACAGTCACTTGTTCCAAACCTCCTTGCTCAAACTCCAACTCTTTACCGTCCTCAAGGGTCAGTGCAAAGGCTCCTGGGATTGCACTTGCAAAGGCTCATGGGATTCCTAGACGCTGTTTTCACACTCTTATGGCTGCTTTTGCCCTTTTTCATGCCACCTCTGGGTTAACGCTCTATTGTGCCATCATTTTCATTTAATTCTTCGTTGGGGGTGGGGGCAGATTGCCTAGAGGTGTTGTCTAGTCATACAGGGTTACACTATTGGGAGAAAGAAAGGTGCAAGTATCTTAAATCACAACACTGCATTCCAACTTTTGAAAATTAAGCTCATCAGTACTTGTTGAAGCATCCTTGAATAATAATTAGTTACACAGCACATTTGTTCTGCAGCTTGTTTATCAAAGATTTTAATAAAGAAGTTACAATAGTACACCTGAAGCAATTCCCTACAGAATTATGTACATTTTTGAACAGCTTGTTGGCTGATAAAATTATGAGTTACATAAAAATTGTTATACAAATACTCCAAAAGCAAGACTTTCATAAACAATTCATTGTGCCTTGCTCTTATATAGTTTTAAGCAAGTACTGGCTGTCAAAAGAATTTTTTACACAACACTTCTTTTAGGAAAAAACATGAACATACACTGAATGAATGTCCCCTCAAGTTAAACAAAGAATATTATGTTGCCAAAGAAAACGTTGTGAATACTAAGTGAATACAAAAATTATTAGCTGTCACAGCAGCTTCTACCCATCCTGATGCCTGATATCTACAAGAAAAGAAGTGGTGGCTCAGATTCTTGAACTCTCTAGGTTCATTCATTTCCCCGACGACTCTTCTTATGGCTCTTTTTAGATCTGAAAGAAGAACAAAAGTAACTCACTGTTCAGTTGATTCTCAGGAACAAATAAATTGAATATGCAGATAAATTCACCTCTGGATATTAATACAGTGATTATGATAATCACAAGAGTCCTAAAAATATCTTTACAAGATACATACAATCTATCTTGAATTCATGGATGATACAAAAAAGTTGGCAGAAACCTAGCAAGAAATCTATAAGCAAGACCTCTTACACAGTGGTACCTTGGGTTAAGTACTTAATTTGTTCCGGAGGTCTGTTCTTAACCTGAAACTGTTCTTAACCTGAAGCACCACTTTAGCTAATGGGGCCTCCCACTGCTGCCACGCCGCCGGAGCACAATTTCTGTTCTCATCCTGAAGCAAAGTTCTTAACCTGAGGTACTATTTCTGGGTTAGTGGAGTCTGTAACCTGAAGCGTATGTAACTCGAGGTACCACTGTAATAATATCATTTAAAAGTAATATGAAATATGTACCTTTCTGGGGACTTGGAATGACTTCGATGTCTATGGCTACGATGATGCCCTGCTGAGACAAGATACAAAATCTTTACTTTGATTTCGTTCTCTACAGAAGATTCCTCCTGAATGTCACGTCAAGTAAAGCAGAATGGTAATAGGGGACTCAATAAATTTTAACTTTGTTACGGGCTTGAATCCTAGTTTCTGTGAGTAAAACTCTGCTCAAGGGTGCTCCAGAATAGTGTAGTATGTGGTACCAAGGGCAGCAATGGAAAGGAATAATTTCCTTCTACTCCAACTTCTTTCCACCAGCAGGAGCTTCTACTGGATGGTGGGGAAGTGTCACTTCCATGAACAGAGCTGGAACTGAGGATCCAAGCCATCATATTATAAACAGATTGGCCCCCTTACTGGTAGAAATGGGAAAGTAAATTAACAGATGCCAGAAAGCCACCCACAACTCCCTCTCCCCAAAATAAAATTACCTGGAGATTTAGATCTTGATCTGTGACGTCTTTCCCTAGATCTACTTCGGTGTCGCCTTGGGCTCTTGCTGCGATGCCTTTCCCGACGTGGTGATGGACTATAGGAACACAGGCTATTAGTGTAAAGTTCACACAATTATGTTTTTTTTAAATCAACTTGATAATTTAGTAAGTCTCCTACCTTCTCCTCTTCGGGGATCGGCTTCGCCTAACAGGGAAGGAGAAGAAAAAAAATGTTACTCTGACAATAGTTTTAGGTACAGCATTAAGTTGGTTAAAAGTATTTTGCTGGCTCCAAATATGTTACCTTCTAGGAGATCTGCTTCGGCTTCTTCTGTAACGCAGAGTTGGAGATCTGCGGGGTTTGTCTAGATCCCTGTAGCCTCTTCTCCTGTGATCAGGTGAGGGAACTCGCTCCATCTGAAAATATTGCAAGCAAAGCATTTTGGAAAAAAACCCTTATGTTCAATGCAACATCTCTAAAATGAACTTTTAAAAAAGATTTTACAGGAGCACAAAGGACTCAATGCTCCTTTAAAAAAAATAAAGTAAAGCTTGGACAGTCTTCTGATCTTCCTTTTGTAGAACGTCAGAACTGAACAATTAAGAATAAAATAACAATAGCTAAGGCCAGTTCTAAAGCTCTTTAGCAATATGAGCACCATATAAGAAATGCTTTCTTGCACTGTGTAAAGTCAATATGTCAGTACTCTTGTTATAGAAGAGGCCCTCAGGGGAGCTACACAAATGTTCAACCTTTTCGTCCTCCTCTTCCTCCTCCTCGCTGGACTCCACATCATCCATATCTTCTTCCAAAGCGCTAATTCGTGGTTCCAGTTGTTCAGCCTCTTCTAGGACATATCGTTTCTAATAATGAATGAATGAATCTTAATTTGTGTCAGCCATTGGCCATAGCAATAAAACAATACAATATACAAAGAATAGAAATAAAAAGTCAATTATATAAAATGCATTTTAGGGTTTTGAATCAATAGTCAAATAGTGGATCTTATTATGATTGCTCTAGCTAAAAACCTTGCAACCTTTGCTGTCACCTGCTCATGTTGAATTGTTTCTAATAATAATAACAACAACAACAACCAACATTTCTCAATGGAAGCAATACACATTTGGAGGACATAGGGTTGAATCACAAAGGTGTTGTTTTTCCAAATTTAGACTTGGCTGCCCCCTCCAACCATTATATTCTGATGTGTAGTATTTTAGGGTTAAGTCATATTTTTATTGTTCGCATGTTACAAGCCATTACACACCTGTAGTCTAGGTAAAATGACATCACAAACTCGCTCATCATGGAGCAGTTGATCAATAAACTCATCCACGTGCATTAGTTCAAACTCTGGGGGAAAAAAATATTTTAGAGAGCATCACTACAATATCTACATTAAAAAATTTAAATGGGTATGGCTGAAGATCAAATAAACATTGAACAATTTAGTCCTATTTTCCAAATAAAAACCACAGTATAAAAGGAGTAGAAATATTGCAGTTAATATTGTGTGCATACTGTGCTTCTTGGTTGCAAAAACAATAGTTCCTTATAAAGCAGATAATTTAATAAGTGTTAATTAAGACTATAACATCAAGACTCCTACACAACATATTCCACAGATGCTATCTACATTGGTAAAATTGATTAAAAACCACCCAACTTAATGACTGCTTTGTTGATGGGCAGGAGCTGACCAGATAAATTATAAAACTGAGCCACTTACCCCCATTTCTATTTTGGCTTTTTATTTTTCGATAATCATTGTACAAAGGTTCTAGGTATTTGTAGCAATCTATAGCAGTGCCAGTCAGTCTCATGTACAATGCACCCAGCAATCTTACATACCTAAAAATTAGGAAACACAAAAATAGCAATTTAGAATTATTATTCTTCCAAATAAAGTCATTGGAATACATGCTCTCAGCTCAGAATTTGAAACTATACCCAAAACTTTTCATTAATGTAACCGTCATGTGCCACATTGCAGATTCTAGGTGCAAGAAAAATTAGAGAGGTACAATGGCAACAAGATTACCTCCAAACAGGCAAAACATTTGTATCATAGAAGAATTCTTCTGTGAGTCCTAACTAAAGAAACTTGCACAGTAAGGGTAACGACTTAAGAAATGAGTAGATGTAGAGATGAGAGCCAACTAACGTGAATTTGAACACCAAGAAAGGCTTTTGCTAATAATTGGAAACCACAGCTCTAGACTACTTCTCTAGCTATTTTCTCTTACTTGAAATCTTCGTTCTTTATAAATTCAACAATGATATCCTTTTCAGGCTGTATCTGCAGCATCTTCAAAGTCAAGCACAAGAATGGTGTTGGCTTGATATTTCCTCCATAAACTCCACCAGTGTATCTCAGTTCCATGGCTTTATCCACCACCAGTTCAGCTATGAAAGGAATCATATGAAAAGGCACTCAGATTCTGAAGTTAGAGCAAGACCAGTTGCTCATGTTTAAGCTGGAAGTTGTACTTTTAGTCAACTAGGAAGGCACCGGGTTTACTGTTACTAGAGAATTTGCTACCAGAAAATACTACGACGGTGATGGAACTTTAAACATGCATAGGATTTGGATTCTTAATAAGCGTTCAAATGTCTGCTGCCAGCCCAAGCTTTCGATACTTCAGGTATTACCCCAAGTGGTTCGATCACCCGATTAAAATATTAATAGGTGACTGCTTTTTCCGGTGGGTACGCATGCCCCTAAACATTTTGTGAATCTAAGTTTGGCCTCATTGAGACGCAGGCAGTATTCCAATATGAGTAGGAAAATGAGAGTACCCCTAAACATTTTTATTTTTAGAAAAAAAGCACTGATAGGCAATATAAGGGAAGCTAACTTATAACACTGGTTAGTCCGGCATCTTCTGGCCCTGGATGTAGCCATTGATGAAATACATAGCGTGGTTGTGCAGCTTTTGTGCTCTCGTTTCACCCGCCTCTCCCCCGGTGTGTAGTTTCCAAACTGCCCCGCCAAAGTGGCAGGTATTCCCCAACTTCCCCACACGGAGTGAGCCCCTCCTCTTCCACCCCCAGCTACCCAGAAGCCCTAGGCCTCACCTGTGAGGCCGAAGCACTCCTCCTTCCAATACTTGGATTCATAGATGCGAGTGCGGATGATTTTCTCCACCAGGTATTGAGGGTTAGTGCCGTGGATGCTGTGCGCGTCCTTCACTGTCCGGTTTGCCATAGCCGAAGTCCGGCCCGGCACGAACCCGTCCGCGTAGAGGCCTGGCGAGAGAGGAGGGGGAAACAGAGGTGGGGAGACAAAGGAAGTACCGGACCAGCGCACCAAGAGACGCGTTCCTCCTTTTTCACTTCCGCTTGGGGGGGTTCACTTCCTCTAGAGGCGGGCTACAGTGGTTTCTGGCCTGCCATCTTAGTAGTGGGCAAAAGAGCCGCCCTTCCCGAGCTTCCTCTAGCCAGAAAAAAACATGGCGGCCGCGGCGCTAACCAGCGGCTCATTTCCTCCTCCTCAGGGGCGGGGCGAGTCTGCTTTGGCGCGAAGTTTCATCCTGACGTAGAGAAGGAACCGCGCGCGCGCCGCACCGGGTCCCGCGGCAGAATCTCGCTCTCCGGGTTTGTGGAGCAGCTGTGGGCTCGTCGGCGAGGTACGGTAGTCCGAACCAGGTGCGACATCGGAGTGTCAATGCCATAGTTCGGCGGCCGGCGGGAGGGCTGCGGGTGTGCTGCAGAGGCGCCCGCCCTCCAGCCTCACGTGCATTGGTCTCTGTGTGGATTCTTTTAAGAATCGAGTTGGGGTGGGGTGGAAACGGATTAAAAATTCGAGAATCGGCTTTCTTGCTTTTTTTTTTTTTTTGCATCTTTGCACCTTCATATTTCTGTTTCTTCACAGAAACCATGAACACGAGAAACCAGAAAAAGCGTATCTACTCGTGGCTTGGAAAAGCTATAGCTGAAGACAAGCAGCTGCAGCTTTCCTCTTACAGGTATGTATTTTTTGGTCTATATATTGTTAGAGGGTAAGCTGTGTAGGCTTGAGGCCAGTGTATAAATGTAGCATAAACAGGCAATCTTGGAAATTATGTTTTGCATAAGGCTGAATGGTTTTTACTGTATTATTAATGGAGTACTAAAAGGTGATTATGTAACAATACTGTTGTAATTATTATGAGTGGAATGTGCTTATGTAGCACCATCTGTGTGCGTGCAGTTTGCAAAGTAAGAAAAGCAGGCCCCTGCCCTGAGGAGCTTACAGTCTTAAATTTGACTGAGTGGATATAGTAGATAGACGGGAGGAAGAAGGAAGTGTGAGTAACTGGGGAGGAAGTACTACATATTTAGGGAGTGAGGGCTATGGCTAAATCCAGACTTTACGGAAAAGTTTGTTCTTCTGAGGAGAGTTTGAAAGAGAGGGAGCAGTGTTATGTTGATCTGTGAACTAATTCCAATTATAAGAAGCAATAAGGAAGAAAGGGTATAATTGTTTGAAGAAGCAGCTTCTGAAAGCTGAAGGATGTAGATCTGGAATGTAAATTGGGGGGGGGGTAGAGGTAAAGGCTGAGGTAAGGCTGAAATCCTAACCCTATTTACATGGGAGAAAGCCCCACTGTATTCAGGTAGACTTATTTCTGAGTCAACATGGTTATGACACATTAAACTGTCAGTCTTCAGTGTTGTTCCTTAACTGTAAAGAATGTGCAATCCATTTATACCCTTCATCTCCTAGGGGGATAGCTGTTAAATCGAAAAATGTCAGCGACACCTGTATTTTCCCAGGGGAGTTTATTTTAATAGAAGGTGAGAATGTGGATCAGTTCCTTGTAGCAAGACTTTTAAAGTTATATGAAGATGGTAAGTGGTTTTTTTTATTATTTTCTAGCTCTAATTAAGATGTCACGCCACTATTCAACATTTATTTTATAAAAAAATGATGAAACAACAATTAGAAGAATAGAGAAGCTAAGCAACTTTTGTGATACCATAATTTTTGTTAAATATGTATTTTTGGGCTATAGCTCGACATTTGTGGTACAAAAGACTGGGGGCCCCATGCAATATAAATATGTTACAGGAGTTAACTACAGTATATACTAATTTGGAGGGACGCAGGTGGTGCTGTGGGTTAAACCACAGAGCCTAGGACTTGCCGATCATAAGGTCGGTGGTTCGAATCCCTGTGACGGGGTGAGCTCCCGTTGCTCTGTCCCTGCTCCTGCCAACCTAGCAGTTTGAAAGCACATCAGAGTGCAAGTAGATAAATAGGTACCGCTCCGGCAGAAAGGTAAATGGCATTTCTGTGCTCTGCTCTGGTTCACCAGAAGCGGCTTAGACATGCTGGCCACATGACCTGGAAGCTGTACGCCGGCTCCCTCGGCCAAAAAAGTGAGATGAGCGCCGCAACCCCAGAGTTGGTCATGACTGGACCTAATGGTCAGGGGTCCCTTTACCTTTATGCTAATTTGGGGGCTTAATAATTAAATATTCAGTATGTTTTCTCTTACTAAAAATATGTTGTTATATACTATTTATGTACGGTATATTGGATTTCTGATTTTTGCTTTTTCCAGGATAACCAGTAGCAATACTTACTCTTTGCAATTACTCCAGGGTTAGCCAGTGCTCCAGATGTTGTTGGACACCCTCAACCTTGGCCAGCATGGCTAGTGGTCAAAGATTATGGGAGTTATAGTCCAACAGCATCTAGAGGACCCCACATTCACTACCCATATATTCTTCCTTCAAGGGGAATGAGAAATCAAGAAGCTTTGGTTGTGAAGTTTCTGTTGAATGTTATATTGGTTATTAATCTTTATTGGAACACACTTCCATATTGCAAAAATGCATTTTAAATTATGTGCTTTAAAAAACCTTTATGTGTTTTAAATGGCTTATGTTGCTTTCGTAGAAAGACTTGCATTGTCAATTTTGTAGCTTTCAGTGTTAGCCTCCCTGTTGAGTTCAGGAGTGAACCAAAGATGGATTCGGCTATAGTAGATGGCCATAGGAAGCGACCCTTTTCTTGACCTTCTGTACAGTCCTGTAGTTTATTTCTTTATGCTTGAAGTCATGAGAATCTAGAAAGTCGTTAGGAAGCCAGGTTGCAATAATGGTAATATAACTTACTATTAAACAAAAGGCACCAGGTGTGGGATGACATCTTGAAGCCTCTGCTTCAGACTCAGGAGACAGGCTCTTTCAACCAACAGGGAATCTGATAGAGCTGCAAATGTAAAATAGATAGAACAGTGGCACAGACATCCTCAGGCCATAGTCATTGTTCTCAAAAAGTAAATGCACTCAGGAAGGCCATTCCCCCAGGGCAACCACCTGTGTCAGTCATCCCTGACTAACTACAGTAATCATAGTCATTGTTCTCAAACCTAAATTCACTCAGTAAGACCATTCCCCCAGGTCTTCTCCTTCGACATTATGCCAACTCACCTAGACAGACTTTTGGATAAACTTCAAGTCTATTTAAGACCAGGAGCATCACCTGCAAGACTGAAGATTATCTCTCCCTCTGAGCAGCCTCTGTGTGCATTCCTAGACCATCTTTAATTCACTGCTGAACTTCAATTACCTAGAATAATTTCAGGTGTAGATCCCTGAGCTCAGTGCCTGGGTTCCAGATCTAAGAGAAGAAACTTGCAACTATTTTCTCTAGCTATTCCCCCCCCCCGCCCTTTAGTTTAGAACCCTTATTTCTGTAAGTTAGATATGTGCTTGCATTAGAACAGGCATAGACAAACTCGGCCCTCCAGATGTTTTGAGACTACAATTCCCATCACCCCTGACCACTTGTCCTGTTTGCTAGGGATGATGGGAGTTGTAGTCCCAAAACATCTGGAGGGCCGAGTTTGCCTATGCCTGCATTAGAATATTGTTTTCACATATGTGCCCAGTACTGCAAATGTATGCTGCTGTAGTTTATTGTTAAAACTACAGTCATACTTCGGAAGTCGAACGGAATCCATTCTGGAAGTCCATTCGACCTCTAAAAAGTTCCAAAGAATGTTCGCAAACTGGAACAATCACTTCTGGGTTTGTGGCATTTGGGAGCCAAAACATTCATCTCATAAAGCGTTCGACTTCTGAGGTACGACTGTTCCTTTGTAATAAATCCTTTATTTTTCTATAATCTTTGTGTGGGTACACATTCCTAGACTGGAAGGGTTCAGATACACACAGACAGAACAGCACTCAGTTTGACTTCAGCTTAAGATTCTTTTGTGTGAGGGTGTCTTTTTTTCCCTTCCAGATGATCTTTATTGAATTTTTAGTTACATACTATACATACACATACATTATGTTTCACATTTGTTCTTGCTCTCCCGAGCTGACTTCCCTCCTTCCTTCTTCAGTTTTTTTATGTCGTCTTTAACTTTTCGCATTGTCTTTGTCCATTTTATATATAATTGTTCTTCTTCAATTTTTTCCATTCATTTACAAATATTGTTCAACAATAGTCATAATATACATTTTTAATTCATTTTGATATTATTATCCAATAAATTTCTTGTGTTTTCCCGTTATGAGTTTTATTGTTTGAGGGTGTCTTTGGGACCACATGGGTGGTAGTTTCATACAGGATCCCAAAATCCATGTGTCTATCCGCCCCCCTTTTAACAAGGCTTGCATAAAAGCTGCTGAGAGTGGGGGCTAGTTGATATTGAATGCCCTCCCTGAAAATACCAAGTTTGATGGCTGCCGTTGACTTTCTCCTTAATTTCGTGAAACTTAAGAAAGCTTCATACTGCTAAAGGGCTTCAAGTGCTCTTGCCATCCCAGGTCTGAATTGTGTGGTTTTTTTACCTACTCCAGGTACTCATGAAAAGCGTGCAGTTGTGGAGTGGTTCTCCCGCCTGCTAGAAATACCTCTCAGTCAACGGAAATCCATGGGAAGAGAGGATCCACAGGAGATATTTTTGAACGAAAATCCTGAACGGGATACTGACATAACAGTTACACATATCATTGGCAATGTCACAGTATGTACATAACGTGTTAGAAGGCAAGAGAGGAGGAAGTTCCTTGGGAGTATGTTGAAATGTTATAATGCAGATTTATAGCACTGAAAAGTTTTTTTGGGTGGGGAAATCCATAGGGGTTTAATCTTTGAGGCTGGCCGCCTCTGTAATAGCAAGTGTGTGGGTTAATGCTTGGTTGCTATCTGGTCACAGCAAGCCATAGAAACGAGCCTAAGAATCCCAGTAGAGTTCATAGTCTTCCATTGGCATTGCAGCTTGACTTACCTACAGCTTCAGGAAATATTGATTGTCCCCTGCTGTGGCACAGGATGCTTATATGGCGTTTGCTTGGCTGATAACCTTACAGTGCAGTATTCTTGGAGAAGTTCAAGTAGTCC